GAGGTGTTCTGAAGCCGCGGATTGTCGACTTGAAAAACCTCTGCTCCTCCCGTTTCTTCGGCTGCCCCACCTCGCCCGGGTACACCTCGACGCCCGGTGCCTTGAGTCCACTGTTGTCGAGGTGTCGACTCGCCAGGAGGCTGTTGAACGCCGCCAACAGCTGACCATCGCCAGCTCCGAGACCCTCGGCTCTCACTGGTCGACGTTGGCATGGCACCACTGCTTCGGCATATTCATACCAACTGAGAGCGAGGCTAGCCAACAAGCGGTCTGGCCGGAAGGACAGCTGCATCTCCGACAGTAGCTGTGACGCGAAAGGAAGGTAAAATGCTGCTTAGACGAGGGTTGTACGAAGAGAAAAGAGAACCAAAATCTATCACCGATTTCCCGATGCGACGGTTTGATCAGCCTATATCGCTTAGCGTGATTCGGGAATTCATAATAGTTGTTTGAAGTTGCTTCGAAAATTGGACATATTGGCAGGAAGACCTGGAGCAACGCAGCTTGTCCTGAGGCCTTAGTATGCATGATTACTTCCAGAGTCGAATTGTGAACTTGAGACATTCCCAGTCGACATCGTCAGTCAGCTTTGACAATCTTAGCAGCACACCACAAGTCGTCAAAGGGATCTAATGGAGCCGATGCTAAGCTTGCGTCCACCATATGACGAACATCATCAGAGCAAGGTATCATCGTCACAACAAAATGCAAGCTAACGAGTTGGAGTTTTCTTGATGATAATGTTCGTCATATGACGGACAAAAGCCTAGCAACTTTTTACCGGAATCGAAAGAGATTGTCTCGGAAACAGCGCCAGCATGAATCTTCGAGTAAAGCCAATCGACAGCTGGTCAAGAGGAATACGCCGTCGTCTTATGGTAGAACCGAACTTCGAATCTCTTCAACCAACACTTCCACTCGAAATGAAAGTGAGCTCAACAAGAGTGCGTCGCTTGTGCATAACGACTGTTGTCCAGTGGATGCTGACATAATGAAACTGTCATTGTAAAGCCTTGCGTTGGACATAGAATCTAGTTAAGCATAGACTGAATGATGTGTACATTCGCGGATGTAGAAGGGAGAAAGGGCGGCGTACGAGATTGTGGCGAAATTATAGTAAAATGAGTTAAGATGTAAATATTTGATATCCAAGCTGTGGAGACAAGCGTCGCGATTTTCTACGTATTGTTTCTGAGGCCGTCCGTTGATATGAGTTAGCAGTGAATAAAGATGACGCGAAAGTGGCGCACGATGAATGCGGCTTGTTCCGTCAATTGGAAACGAATAAGAAAATACTAAAGCAATGAGTTGATATTTATGTTGCTATTTAGGATTCGATCATCGAGCCCATCAGCGGACGAGGTCAAACCTGCAATCCGCCGCGGATTGGAACAAATTGTGTGGAAGGAAAACTAAATTAAATTGAATGGAAGCATACAGTCTTTTTTTATAATTAGAGGAAATGATAACCTCAAATGAAATAGAGTAAGTAAATCTCATATATGAATAAGAATTACTGGTAGTCTC